AGAAATAAATTTAAAAGGTCATTACAATAGTGGTAAATGTCATAGATAAATATTGAGAGTGTTGGGGATGTTTAGATTCAGAGACAACCCCTTAGGGAAACTGATTTTCTAGCTGAGACCCAAACAGCAAGTCTGCCCTGAGGTCTCAGGATAAAACGTTCCAACTTAACTTCCATGAAGTAAATGTGACTTCCGCACTTGGTTTTGACTTTGAAAAGCACGGATGCTTCCAAAGACCTTCTAATTCAACATTATCTCCCAAAAACCCCTTAAATTTAAACATATGAAGGTTATTATAAAACATGAGGACATTTGTTTCTTTGGGAGCATGAAGTGGGTGGAAAGGATGGAAAGTGAGAGATTCCTTTTAATTGGGGAGGTTGGGGAAGGGGTCTCAGTGGAGGGGCCATTTGGAAGAGGAGTGAGCCAGCTATGCCAACCAGCACGCTGTAATAGGCTAGTAACAGATACTTTTTAAAAAGCTTTATTTGAGAAAAAACTTAGTCTCTAGAAACCACAGAAGAAACAGCAAGAGTAAGGAATGAGATTAGACAGGTAGCCGGAGCCAAGATTCCACAGGGCCTTCTAGACTGTGGTGGGGATTTCTGCTGTTTTTCCGGAATGAAAAGGGAAGCCCTTGGGGGATTTTGGCAGGAGGAATAATAAGATCAGATCTACTTTTCACCTGACCTTGCGCCCAGATACTCTTTAACCACCTTTCTTCCCATCTCCCTCTGTCACCACAACCCTTGAATTTCCTCCTTGCATCCCTCAAGCACATTCCCACCTCAGGGTTTTTGCTTTTACAGTCAGTGGAGAGGGTTTTCCATCTAATCCTGTTTAAAAATATTCCTTGATGCTGTTTTATTACTGTTTTCCGTGGCACTCTTAACATATCGTATTGTTATTTGTTCATTTGTTTACTCTCCTTCCCCCACACTAGAATATCAGAGCAGGAATATCGTTTCATTCGTTGTTTTTATTCCTGGCTTCTAGAAAATGCCTGACACTCAAATATTTGTTGAATAAATGAATGAAAGGAAGACTAGGGGTGTTTTGGAGGTGATGTCAGAGATGAGCCAGTTTTAGGGCATGTACAACTTTGAAGTTCAAGGTTAGTTAGGAGATGAGGTTTTGTTGTAAGTGGAAAGAAAGAGTGATATAATCTAATTCTCACTGGCGGTGTTTGGGGAATAGATTTTAGTGCTGTAAAGATCTTTACATCATTCAGCTTGACCTATGCTGATGTGAATAGGCGAGTGTATAACATGTTGCTTAAGTGTCTAGACATGGTTCACTTGGGTGTCTTTCTGCTTCAGATTCCGTGTCCACCTGGCCTTGGCCCCTTGGTGTGGGATGAGCTCAGATCTGCTCCATGTATTTTCATTCTAGGGTCCAGGCTGAAGGGTTGCAGTTCCTCAGGGAATTACAAAGAATCCCAAGAAGAAACCCAACCACAGAAGTATATTTGAAGCCCATCCTCACATGTGTCACCTCTGCTGAGGTTCCAGTGGCCACCAAGGTCACTTTCAGCCTGACATCGGGGAAAGAACCTCTCTAGTCACTGACCTCCCAGAACCCTGATATTCTATGTCACAAACTGGACGATTTGAATTATTACTCTCTATAGCCAGAGAGCAGTAGACAAGTTATTTAAAGCATCTCATCTTTGTACAAACAATAATATTTTTCAACCTGCTTTACTTGTACTTTATGTTTTATTTTTTGGAAATAGGACACTGGCCTGGGAATTGAGTTACTTGCCTCTAGTTTTGGCAGTGACATAACTTTGATCGGAGTCACTTAAAATCTTGGCATGCATTTCTTTAAAATGTCTTCCAGCTATCAGTGCCTATGAGTTCAGAACTGGTTCATCAGTAATGTCTATGAGCCCCCAGGATTGCTAACAATTCTGGGAACAAAGACTGTGATCAAACTCCAGAACCACTGAGTTAAACTCTCTTAATTTACAGATGAGGAAATTGAAACCAAAAAGGATTATTCACCTTGCTCGTGACTATAGGTAGCAGTAAGAGCTTAAGGTAGAAGAAGGTATATAATCTAGGGAATATTTAACTGTTTTTAAATGTTAAAGGTATGCGTGTAAACTATAACACCTATACATAGAAGAAAATATTAAGCTGAACCATATAACACTATCATTTTTGTAGGGACAAATATTTTCAAATATCATCTATTCCATATGGTTTCACATAACATGAGAACATTAGCAGTACTGTTTGTAAGAGCCAAAACACTGCAAATTACCTGTATGTCCACGGACTGTAAAATAGAACAATCATCTGTGGAATAGTCACACTGTGGAATTCTACAGCACAGTGGGAAAAACAAACCCTGCAGGCACGTGTTCCAATCCTGGCAAATCTCAAAAGCAAGTCACCCGGGGTGGCAGGTTCAAATCCAGCCCCGGCCAAAAACTGCAAAAAAAAAAAAAAAAAAAAGCAAGTCACCCAAGAATATATTATATTTTTATAAAAAGAAAATCAAGATAGTTGTTCCCTCTGAAAGATAATATTTTATTTCTTAAATTAGGTAGCTAATTCATTGTACAGTGAATTGTTTTTCTTTACAGTTGATATATATTTATTAAATACTATTCTATATTTAGAACAACTAATAACATCAAAGAAGTAACTAATGTTTCCTGCTGGCAGGAGTATAATAATTTGCTACAGTCCCTGGAGAAGCCTTACTGATAGTGTCTGTTTAAATGAAAAATGATGAACATAATAAGTTATTTTCTTTCTATGTTGAATAAAGGCTGGATTAAGCTCCCTGGGTAATTGTTATGCTTACTCAGATGTTGAGAAGCCAACTCTGATTTGAGATATCTTTGATTCTACAAAAATACTTCAAAGTCTCTGCCCACACACCCATCTCCTGCACCCATCTCTCCCCTTCCCCTCTAGGCCTTGCCGTACCCTCAACCCACCATTCCTGCCCTTCATCCATCAGTCATATCTGCTGTAGGTTCCCACCCCAACAGGTTCCCAAAACATAAAACAATTGAAGCTCTAAGGGCAGTATCCAGACAAGATTTTTATTTTTTCCTGCCATAAAACTTGCAGGATTCATGCCTGCCACTTACCATGAGAACTTGCAAAGTGCAACAGAGACTATTTGCACTCCCTTATCGCTCTCTGCCCCCACACCCCTAACATGTGGGAAACATTTGCTATGTCAACAGCTTAGAAGGAACATTGTTCACTGGAATGAGACCCACCCACACCAATTTCAGCAATGAAGTTTTGGAATGGTTATGGTAACTGCATAGTAAACTACATGACTGCAGCTGTGGAATTCGCTGGAAAGTCAGGTCAGATGTTTTCTCAGGAGTGAATGTAATCAAAATTCTTACTAACAAAAATATACACAACCATTTTCCATTCTTGGGGCTTAGATGAGATGAACAATGTATGGAACAGATTGCTAAGGACTAGCTTGCGTAAAAAATTACAGCAGTTTGAGCAGCGCCTGTGGCTCAGTGAGTAGGGCGCCGGCCCCATATACCAAGGGTGGCAAATTCAAACCCAGCCCCGGCCAAACTGCAACAAAAAGCTGGCCGGGTGTTGTGGTGGGCACCTGTAGTCCCAGCTACTCGGGAGGCTAAGGCCAGAGAATCACCTAAGCCGAGGAGTTGGAGGTTGCTATGAGCTGTGACGCCACTACTGAGGGCAATAAATTGAGACTCTATCTCAAAAAAAAAAAAAAAAAATTGCAGCAGTTTTTATAAAAACAATCTGCCTGAAAATTGCCCAATTTTATAGAAAATCCCTGAAATAGAATTCTCCTTGGAATATTTAGAAGCTTGATTCAGAATTTATTGTGTATCTTTGAAATAAAGTCAGTTCATTTTCAAATTACAGAGATAAATGAAATAGTTGTGAAACCTTTGAATTCAGTTATTTTATTATTTTCCAGATCTGAACTTCATGGTTGGTTTTTAACTTTGTATTTGGTAAAATTCAGATGGCTTTATAATGCTTCATCAGAAATGTATAGGTCTATTTATGGAAGTAGTGTTGCTAAAACATTTAGTCAAATTGTCTTTTGTTGTTCATATGCCTTAAGATTTTTAAAATGTAAAATCAATTTCTTAATTCTCAAATTTTATCTGATTAATTTTCCTTTACCCTTTTTTGTTCAGGGTAATTCATAAAGGGAGGTTTTGCCTTTTTATACTGGAAATGATGAGAAGACAGAACATCTTGTCACAATGTCACACCTTGTTGGTAGCTTTTTGAGTAGAGAACAGACTATAATAATTTCTTATATAGTATAAAATGGTTTCATTTTGTGTTTGGCCTCAAAATTCCAAGGTGTTTATGGTAATGAGTCTGCCTCACTGGTTTACACGCTTATTTCAGTCTTATTCTTTGAAAAGCCTACTGATGGTTAATTCACTTCCTTTATTATTATTATTATTATTAAATGATAGCTGTATACATTAATGCAATCATGGGGTACTTAATTCACTTTCCTATGAGATTCTGTTTTACTTAGGAGAAGATGAACTAATTAATAGTCATGAAAAATCATTTTCCTTAGGGAACGTGGTACAGAAAACTAAACCCACTTTAAGAGATGTTCTCTGGAATGCACAGTGTCCTGTGCTGTGATAATTTCTAGACCTGAGAGGTTGTGGGGCCCTCACTTTACCTTCAGGCCTCCCAAACCTGCTTTCTAGGAGACAAGCCAATCATGTGAAGGGGAGAGAGGGACGTGAGTGACTGTGATAAACTGTCAAGCACAAGCCGGATTTACCAGGTTGCTGTTTTGTTGGAACAAAGACCCAAATATTGCCAGATCTTCCAACTTATAAGAAAAGTCCTCACATTCGTGGGAAATCTCTCATTTTTAAATGATGACAACTAAGTAATTTAAAATCATTTTCAGCAATCCGTGCAACCCAAATTGAAACTGCCTTATAGACCTGTGGAGCACCTGTTAGGAACTTCTTTGAATGCAGTAGAAAAGTGTTTCTGGCCCGGGGTGGTGGCTCATGACTGTAATCCTAGCACCCTGGGAGGCCGAGGCGGGTGGATTGGCTGAGCTCCTGAGTTTGAAACCAGCCTGAGTCAGAGTGAGACCTCATCTCTAAAAAAAAAAAAGCCGGACATTGTGGCAAGTGCCTGTAGTCCCAGCTACTCAGGAGAAGGTTGCTGTCGGAGATGACGCCATGGCACTCTACTAAGGGCGACAAAGTGAGACTGTCTCAAAAAAATAAAAGTGCAGCAGTCCTGTACACTCAAGGCTCTGTTTTCTGCATAAAGGGTGTGAGCGTTAATCCTCTCCCTTTCCTCTCTGGCATTTCCTTCTTTGTTTCTTCCAGGCTCTGTGCTGACTCTGGTCTGTGCAAACTCCTCCCAGGCGTGGTGTGAGATCACAAACGTGTCACAGCTGTGGGCTCCTCCTGTGCTCTACGAGGACCTGAATTCCAGCACAACCAACTTGAGCATTTCAGCAAATGTGGAGAACAAATACAGCCTCTACGTGGGCTTGGTACTGGCAATCAGTTCCAGTATTTTTATTGGCTCCAGCTTCATATTGAAAAAGAAGGGCCTCTTGGAACTGACCAAAAAGGGCTTCACTAGAGCTGGTATGTAACGTGTGCTACTGATGACTTCAAGTCTCTGACTGCACAAGTAATCCCAATGTGAGGCCATCACGCCACAGTCATCTACTGTATTTATCTGACCTCATTCTCCTTGACAGAGCCAGCTGCACCTCCCACAGTCTCCAACCTACCTCTCCACCTTCCTCTTACACTTTCTGCTGAGTCCATCCACTTTCTCTCATTCCAGGAATAAACCTAGTTCTTTCCCACCCAAAGGTCTTTTCCCTTTACCTGGAACTCCCGTCTCCTTGCTCATAACTCAGCCGACTCGTACTTCAACTTCAGTTTGAGTATCGTGGCCCCTGAAAGGCTCTTCCTTTCCAGGCAGGTCTCCTGACCCCACCGTCCCCTGTTACTGTCTATCATTGCACTAACAGTTTTCCTCACTGAGTCCAGAATAATTTGTATTTGTGTATTTACTATTTATTGTTGTAAGGTGTACACCATGCGTACTTGTGTATTGATAGTAGTTCACAAGAACAGGAATCTTTTCTAGCACAGTGTTTGATACCAAGAAATATTTGTTAAATCAATAAATCAAAAACAATAGAATTAGGCACCATGACATTTCTGATGCTGAGTAGCTCTCTTTGATTTTCCTTCCTGAACCACGAATCCTCTATTTTTACCAAGCAGAATATCATGAATAAGACCTAAAGATTTTTTTAAGATCCGTATGGAAAAATAAATGACTATAACTTGTGCAAACAAGCTTATAAAAGAGTACTATTAGGGCAGCGCCTGTGGCTCAGTGAGTAGGGTGCCGGCCTCATATACTGAGGGTGGCAGGTTCAAACCCAGCCCTGCCAAACTGCAACAACAACAAAAAAATAGCCAGGTGTTGTGGCGGG